CCGTGACTTGTGTCAGTGCTCCTGCCCAACACAGAGCTGTGTGTGAGACCCACTCACCCACGGGACAAGGACTGGCTCATCCGTTTGGTGACCGTGGCACCAAAGCCACCGGGATGCTTTAGGCTGGTCCCCCACACACCCAGCAGGGCCTTCCATCGCTCAGGTTTCTCCTTTACCCTGAGGGTGGCACCCTTGGTTCTCACCAAGGGAGAGCCGCCTTGGGGATGGTCAGAGCATGGATCAGGTTTGTTCTGGTGTATCTGTACGGATCCATCCAGCAAGCACCTCGGGCATAGCTCACCTCCCACTCAGCAGGCTCGGGGCAGAAGGTTCCCAGCTCCAAGACATCCCTGAGCCAAGGACAGTTGTTCGGTGTCTCTCATTCTCCATTTCCTGGAGTTCTACATTGGAAAATCATGAGAGTCTGGAGATGGTTCCCTGTCCCTCCTCCATTATACCTCAAGTGAGAGTTTAGGGGGTCAGAGATACAGACATCTGCGATGGAAGTTGTAAATATTGACTGCAATGGGTACAGTCCTGTATTTTTAGGTAAGATAGGATGGAAGAAAATTAAAGGGACAGGAAATAGAATGAAAATAGAAATACATACTCTGATTAAAAGACTCTGATTAAATCAAACTCCAAGACCTCTTTATTCTGAGAGAAACACAATTATCAAATTATCAGAATAATGGCTGCAGAGACATTTCAAATCCCATATGAAACACTGAAAATTGGGGAATGCTATTCCAAAAGCAGAAGTGAATAATTTTATGGACTCTTTTCAAGGGTAGCTATGGTTATATTTATGTATTTAATGCCAGGTGCCACAGCCTCCTAATGTTCCCAATATATAACATCATTTCTGGGATTCTTCTGGTTCCTATTGTTCTCTTGTGGCTCTAAAAATTAATATATTTTTCTATTTATTTATTTTTAATGTGAGTGTTTGAAACAGAAGGCTGAGTTGCCTAGATTTGAGAGTATGTGGTGCACACCCTAGAGTTACATGAAGGTCCATGGGAGTGTTGGAGGGCACAAAGCCCTAAAAGGGCTCCTGTTAAAATAGTGAATAAATCTAGCACTGCCTAGAGCTAAATCTCCCAAAGCCAGGTTGGTGTTTTCTCCCTCTTCTCTCCTGCAATAAGTCTGGTTCAAAGGTTCATTTTTTTCATCCCCATAGCTTCTGAAATGTTTACACCATGTGTGATGATAACCCCAGCCAGTACCAAAACTAGCACACCATGGTACATTTAAACAGGTACACTGTATTCCCTTCTTTGTTTTTCTGTTTGCGGTGTTGTGATGCTTGTCAAGCACTTTAGGATCCTCAAATATTTGGATACACATCTGCTGATCCTGATAACAGTTTTATACACAAGTCCCAGTCCAAAAGTCTCTGTCTTTAGCAGGTATGAGCAGAATGGTGTACATAACTCTAATAAAGCCTCTTTGATGGCATAAAGATGATTTATTTGGGGTTTTTTTTGGTCTGGAACCCTCACATCTAAGCACATTAGGATTCAGTTTCTGGTTTTTATGGTCCCATTACTTCTCTCATCCCATGTGGTTCTAACTAATTAAATAGATAAAGAGTATTCTGCTTGGATTTTGGCACATTATCCTTTGAATGTGTGATGTTTCTGTGAAAGCTCAGCAGCTGAGACCCTCCATGTTTTCTCACCTCAGACTAGACCTTTCTGAGATAAAATGCATTGTTTTCACAAATTTTCTTAGTCTCTCTGACACTGTGGCAATGAAATGGCATAATAGCTATGCTGTCTGGTAGATAATGGACTGACAGCCATGGACTAAATTTTGAAGACTTAGTGGAAAGTTGATGGAGTAGGGGTCAAAGCCAAAGATCTCCACATTTACAAAGTGTAAGAGGTAGAATTTAGGCGCATGATTAATCACTGTCTGGCAGAACCACTGGACAGCTTTTTAAATTACACATCTTCTCAGTTTCTACTCCTTAAATAGCAGTGCATTTAAAAAAAAATCCAGTTTTTCGTTGTTTGCTGTGTGTTACAGTTATTCTTCAACATGTTATGGGGAAAGTCTTTCTTCAGGACAAGCTGGTTCACATCTCTAAATTTCCTGCTGTAGATGGATCTGGATGCTGGAGACCTTTAGTCAAAGCATCAGAATGGACTCCTCTGTTATCTGCAGGCTATATTAGCACCTGCTTCAGGTGCAGGGGTGTGACTGAAGCCAGGAATTCTTCTAAATTCCTGGTCTGAATGCAAACTCCCACTATGCAAGCTCCCTGTCAGTAATCCCTGGCTGTTCATCCTCCTCCCACCCTTTCCCTGACATTGTCACTGTCCTGACATGCCCTGGGACTTGGTGTTTTCAGGTACCCAGTGAATCTGGTGCTTGCATTCATCCCTGGAGGAGAATCCCTCAAAAGGAGGGATGAACATGGCTTGGCACCTCCCTAATCTGCAGCCAGGCCATGCTGTTCTCCTGCTCAGTGCCTTTGTGCTTGCTGAGTACTGATGCTGCAGAAGACAAGCAGATCTAAACACATTTCTAAACACATATTTTACACAGGTTCAAATTTCCCTCATGCAGTCAGTGCAGAAATTGGGGAAGCATGTCAGTGCTTTTGAAATACTGAAATAATTTTGAAATACTGCACAATTAAATGAGCATAAGCTGCATGTCAGGCTTTCCACCAGGGGAGAACTGCTGCAAGGTGTCTCAGCAGGTTGTCTGGTCTGTCCTTGCACTCTACAGTGGCACCAGCCATGACTGAAATGTATCCTGATTAGCAGAGAATGCTAACTGCAGTGGTAAATGTTAATAGCCAAGAGTACTAATCCAACATACACAGTCTGACATTCATCTAGAGCTAATAAGCAAAAATTGAATATTTTATCAATCAGATTGCGTTCAAAGTAGGACTGATCATTAAATGTTAAACCTACAAGATTAAGCCCATTAGTAGAAGCCATGAGTGAATGTAAACATTCACATTCTGAGCACACACAGAGCCAGAGCACAAGAACAGAACAAGGGTCTGGGTGGCACAGTGCAGCCAGGCCTGCAGCTGCCTGGGGATGGGGGCAAGGGTCATGGGGACCCCCAAGGGATGGTGACAGCCCAGGCCTGTCCCACCCCAGGCACGAGCAGCACCCAAAATTAGGTCCCAACTGATGCTATGATTATTTAATACAAATGCATGAGTTTTTAGAACAAAATAATTTTAGTTTTCTTATTATTATCATCTGTCTGTGTGGACTTAAAGACCTTCCTGGTCATAAGGGTGTAGAGGCAGCCTCCCATTCAGGGGAGGGAGGCCATGTAGGCTCCAACACAACAAGGAGTCAGTCACATGTCCCCTCATTGGATCTCACAGAGAAGCCATTCATCAAGACTGCTTGGATAATGAAACCCCAAGAAGGAGTGGAAAAATCCAATGTGATGTCTCAAAGCATTCCAGCTATCCTGCTCACAGTCTCTGGTTCCCTTTCCAGCTGTTTGTCCTAATGAGCCCACTTTTACAAATCTGTGACTGGTGTAACCACCGTTCTGCTGGAAGGATTAAAAACAATAATGGTAATCATGCAAATATATGCATACTCACTAATACAACCAACAAAGAAAAAACAGGGGAAAACCTTTAAACTGACATAAATTAATTCCCCAATGTCAAGCTCATCTTTGCATTGTGCTAATCTCTTCCTGACGATTAGCTACAGTTCAGGCTGATCCAGTTTCCTATTCCTTCTCTTTTTTTGCAAAATTTTCAGGTTTGTGGTGGTGTTCACTATTGTTATTGGCATGAATACCTGCATGCAGAGGTGCTTGGCACTGCCATGGTGTCTG